GCTAATTACACCTGGTTCAAGGAGGATGAAGACTCACCAACAGCTTCAGGACAGATCTTTAACATAAACAACACAAGTCCTGAACACAGTGGGCATTATATTTGTATCGCCCAAAATACCAGAGGACGTCACATCTGACTGTTTTGGAAGGTAAGCTTCACCCACACTGTTTCACAGGTCATATGACTCTATGACAGGAACAGCGGTCTAAAGGAATAACAACACTCTGATTCAGTCGGGAAGGCCACCCAATAGACCTCCGTAAAGGTTCTCCATTAGTCAGTCTCTTGGTATAACTAAAGACTTCCTCGATTGAATTCTTCACAGGACGCCTTCCAGAGACTCCGAGAGGGGTTCAGTTTAGTTTAGAATTTAGAATATATATACATGTACCTGCAAAATGCATCTACCTAAACATACACACACATAAACAATAAGCAAATAGAACAATCAAAGAGTTACAGGAGGAACATAAATCAAATAAAATGTATAGCTTGTTGGATGGCAATAGATGAATTTACTCGGTCAAAAGATACTGCTTTAATAAACATTTGAATTTAGTTTTCTTGTTTTCTTAGTTCATGTATCTTTGAAGTGAGTTCCATTCCTGCATTGCTCGAAACATTTACTGTTTGTTTAATTGAGTTGGTTGGTTCTTGCTTTAGGTAAAATGAAGTTCCCTCCTGTTGCATGCCTGGTTGAGTAGTTTTGAGATGCTGAACTAAACGTTACATTTTTAAGTCTTTGTCACAATAATGTTTTTGATAAATGTCAAAAGTGAGTATCGTAGTCTGTTTTTAACAGTAACAGGGTGTTTGTCCTTCGTTTGGGTCTTATTTCTTTTTCAATTTCACCAAAAGAAAATACAATAAGTTGTAAGAATGTGTTCATGACGTGTTTTTACTTGTAAGGTTAACTTTCTGTCTCTGTCTGTTTCAGCAGGAGGATGGAAACTGACGACTGCTGTGACAGTTCCTGCTATTTTCCTCATTATCATACTCATCTTTGTCGTCATATGGATCATGTGAGCAGTTCTTTTTCAGCAAATACTTGTTCATGATTAATGCATTGTACCCTCACAAACAACAATATGGTTTACTTTTCTATTTGAATGCACCTCACCAGAAAGAAGAGGGCCTGCAAGCAACCGTCTGAGCCCGGAGACAGACCAGAGAACAGTGAACAGGTGAGGAAGTCTCTGAATTTATGAATCAGGGACGGTTGAACTCTTGACATAGTGTTTGATTTGTTTGCCTACAGCAATGTTTGTCCTATTTGTTTGCTGTAAGTGCTTCAGCTTTTGCTCTCTCCATCCTGGTGCTTCACATGTTGGGTTTTTCCAAAAAACTGATGATTTTCTGAGAGCTCCCCAAAAAAGGAAAGTGAGACCTTTTGGGTTGCGTTGCTTTCCTGGCCATGATAAAGACACCCAAGGATCATCAGCATTCAACAAGGCAAACCATAACATTATGAACTGCTTTTAATGAAACACCAAAAACAGGATTGGTTTCTGATTCAAGTCTCAAGTTCCCTCTTTTGCTTTCAGTAAAATTACAACTTCTGTCTCTGTAAATAACTCAAGCCTTGAATCCTGTCTTTCAAAAGTCTGTCTGTAAATAATTGAATACTCTGTGTTGTCCGGTGTTCACAGATACAACCAGCAGAGGAGCAGGATGAGCTTCAATATGCCACTGTCGACTTTTCCAGGAACCAGGCTGATCCTCTCTACTCCAACATCCAACAGTTAAACCCCAAACACACAAGAAAAGAAGAAGAAGGAAGAAGAAGGAGAACAAGAGGAGATGGTTGAGTACTCTGTGGTTAACTTTAACAGCGGCGGTGCAGCCCAGAGGTAAAACAACTCCTCACATAACATGATCTTTAACCACAAAACTATTGTTTTCATCATTCTGTTTATTGTGTTTTCATCATTTACCGTGATCACTGTTGGCCTGTTATCATATAATCTCATGTCTTTCTTCTTCTCAGCACCAGTGGTCAGCAAGCTGCAGATCCAGCTGCATTGTACAGTACAGTCAACAAACATGGACGAAGAAACCTCTAGTTTACTCTCATCCAATGAAATCCTTACAGGAAACCACTTTGAGAATGAATCCTCGGGACAGACTCCTTCAAGAACGCAGCTAGACCTGCATTTAATAAATGACTTCAAAACAGATAAATGATGTTAGTATTAAGCTTTGTGAATGACTTACTGTGGTCCACCTGTAAAGTGATTATGAATTATTTTACAGGATTAATAATATGAGTTTTACATTAACAAGACTCAGGTTTCAACAAATCAAACAAGTATTACTAGTTAAAAAGTATTTACCTTTATTGTTAATTGTTGTTGTGAAGATTCTTATTTTGCATTCATCTGTTTCTTATTGTTTTGTGGGGGAAGCTTTTATTTTGGAAGGCTGATTTGCTTCTTACCTGCTTTAAACCGGATATTAAAAGACTCAGGTAGGTAGACAGTCAGTGTGTTAATTGATTAAAAAAACTCACTGTTATCCACGCCCTCACATTTTAGCAACCAGCTGGAAGGTGTACAAGGTACAACCTTTGTAATCTTTATGATGTTTTCAGTGATTTATTTAAGCGTGCTAGCCTTTAGCTTAGCCATGCTATCTCATTCGCTCGCCTTAGACCTTGGTTAATTGAGTCCTGTTAAATGTAGTTATTATGTTGATTTTTTTGCTAAATTTAATTGCTCATTTTACGTGTATTTAAGGCCTATAGTTATCAATACGTGATTTATATATATTCTTTGGTGTAGTTAGTAAATGTTATTAATATGGTTCTTTAACTTTGTTGTTTGACTTGGTAAAAATGTTCTAAATTAACCTGACTATCTATTTTTATACCTTATCTCTTGTTATGTGTTAATATTATAAATATTTATGGTCCTTTTCTCTGTTTTGGGTTTAATGGTTATTTGCATGTTTATAAAGTTTGTCTTTCTGTTGTGTTTTATGTACAGCTCTTACGGTTTGTTTGTGAGTTATTGCACAGCATGAAGCAAAAAAGTAAAGTAACATAAACCAACAGATAAAGGATTCATCAATTGCTGTAGCTGGGTTTGCTACAGCTACCATGCCCATTCCAGGTGGTCAGATTTAAATGCACCTGTAGCCTGTGTGTGGTGTCGGTAAGAGAGCAGAAACACACCGAGCACAAAGGTTGTACTGTCACCACATGTTTGGCATTCATCTAAATGTCTGTAGTTAGTTCACCTGTTGCTTATATCCTTGCTTTTATTCACTTACAAGTTTTACTTAAATGGTTCTCTTGTAATGTGTCACAGATGTAAATGAGTAATGTAAAATGTTTACACTTCCTGAACCAAATTTCAATGAAATACTTCTGCAAACAATGTAAAAAGGGATCAAATGTAAATTTCATTTTTCCAAACAATCAGAGATGAATGACAAATGTAAATGTCCTGACTCTGACTCTCTGATGTTTCACTGCCCTCTAGTGGAGAGGCTTTTATTCTCACATTCAGGCTTCATCATTCAGTGCTCCCTAAACGGGATAAATAAACATTTTAATTTATCATTTATTTATGATATAATGTATAATCCATCGAGCAACGCCCCGAGTCTTCGTTACCCAGCTTCCCTGAGTCTCCACAGTCCCAGCAGCTGGTTTGCCATTCAAAGCCTCAGACTCAGCAACTGGTGTGCGAGCCTCATCCTTCCCACTTCCAAGAGCCTCAGCTAACAGGGTTCCCAGTGACCCAGTACCTGTGCTTCCCAGTAACTCTGCCCCCGTGCTTCCAAATGACCCAGCCTCATGCTCTCAAGAGCCTGAGACCACCCAGTGCCCCAGAACCTCAGCCAACCTGTGTCCCAGAACCTCAGCCTGTGCTCTGTGTCCAGAACCTCAGCCAGTGCTCTGTCTCAGCCCAGCTCTTCCCTCAGCCCTCTGTTGAACGTTTCCTGTTGAGGCTGGTTCCCATTGGCATGTCTGTCCATTGCTGTGTCCCAGTGGGAGGCCTGCCAACAACTGCATCCCTGTTGTAGGCCCTGCCCACTCTTTTGGGCCTGTCAGTGGCCTGGCCTATACCTGCCCATGTTTTTACGTTGACGGCAAGACAGAAATCTCCTCGCCGCCGCCTTCCCAAACTGCTCTCACCGTCCTCTCCTCCTGAACTATTTGCGCTCATGCCCTTCAGGTTCCTGCTCTCCTCTGCCCTGCCGCCCACTGAACTTTTCTGCTCCCTGAACTCTAGCCCTTGGTTCAACTCAGCTGCAGACTATTAAACATCCTGCCTCAGTGCACAGATGAACTGTACAGGACTGTACAAAGATTAGTGGGATTCAAAAATAAATTTATAAATAAAATAAAAAACTTTGTTCTCAGCATGCTTCTCTTTGAACTCTGTTCTGCTGCAAAATATTCCTATGAAATCTATTTTATCTTTCTATGATTAATCCACTTGACCAGCTCATGAGTACCCCCCCCCAAAAAAAAATTATCCTGAACTGTGATTGGCTATTCACCCTGTCAGAGCTGAGACTAATGATAAAACTGACTCTTCTCTTTTTTAAGGCTCCTGAATCAATGAATCATTTTTAATTGTTTGATAAATAGTTAAAATAATAATAATAAATCCTTTGCATATCTATTTCACAAGACCGGTGCATAGGACGGTAATGCACACTGTCATACTTGCAATGAAGTAACTAGCATGTACAGGACCAACACATTGCTAATTCATGTAATCTTGCAAGTTTGACTGTGTGCAAATGGTAAGTACTTTAAATTTGGACTTTTAGCATACATCTTATTTTTGTGTCAATAAAGAATGAAGCTAAAAATGTATTTATGTTTCCATTATTTTGTTTTATAACTGAGATATAACAGGTGAATTTTAATAGGTTATTTTTAAAGGTAAATCATTTATTATTATTTATTTGTGTGTGTTTTTGAAGGCCACCCCTGCGTCAGTCAGTGCACCAGTCGGGCTACCCAGTGTTGATGCTCCTGCACCCAAGGGTCTCACATTTTGAAGATAACCCCTTGTTCAGTTTTTATGTCCTGTAAAAAATAAGTTTGCCTAAAACAAGTTTGGTACCAATGGACTTCTTTGTGATGTGAGTTCTTCCTGTTTGACTGATCATATATGTTAATCATCTAAAGAGGAAGGAAATGTAGGCGTTAAAAAACCTGATATCTGTCTTCTGTTCACTCACTGCAGAGGAGGACAGTCTTCTCTCAGACGATATCCTTCTTCACTGTAAGTAGAATAATTTATCAACATGTCTGATACTGTTTGAGTCCTGCTGTGTTCTTATTAATCTGCTAACATGTTTTATTGTCCCTAAAGTCACACAGAGAGATGAGAGGAGCAGCGATGACTTTAACTGCAGCAGTGAGTGGATTTATCGTCCTCCTCCTCTCTGTGTCAGGTACTTCATATCTACAGTTACATTCATTTAATCTAAAGAGGGAAATCTGAGGAGATGTGGGACTGATTAATGCAGACTGAAAATTGTGCTTGATGTTACAGGAAATCTTCTCAGAAACACTATAAACACAGTTTTAATGTATATCATTGTATATCTGTTTTAATGTCTAACAGGAAGATCTTTAGTTGGATCGCCTTTTTCATATTATTTCTTAAGCAGTTTGTTTGCAGAATCTTTCATACAGTTTCTATCGACATGTATTTTTTATCCTTTTTAACATTTTTTGGATGGAAACTTGTTTCCATGATGCGTTGACAGCTTTTAAGATCGTATTTTTAAGTATGAGTGTCTGCTCTGTTTCTCACACCTCATAGTTCTGCTTTTTTTAAAGTCTTCACACTTACTTCAACAGCAAACTTACCACAGACCATCCAAGTATGGCAAAAAGTCTTTAATAATCAATTCATAGTTTTCACATGACATCACACGCTTATGGAACCGCCCACCTGGCGGGCGATAAAGACTCTGTAGCTGAACGCTACTGAGAAGTTATTGGTCTCAGTGTTTTTTTATCAGTTTAATTTTTCCATGTTTCAAATGAGAGACAGTTGTTGTTGAATGTGATGCACTAACCGACGAGGAGACGAGCCCGGGTTGTTCTTCTACAGAATGTTTGAAAGAAAACCCAGAGAGGAGGAGATTGTGGATTAATGCTGTTAGACGCTCTGCTGTCCCTGTGAGGGAACAAAAGAACAGACTTCTCCTCATCATGACATTAAAGATTGTGTTAACTTGATCTAAATATTCCTGCCTTTAACGAACATTACTGCCCAGAACACTGACTGACAGAGACCCAGATACTATCGTCAGCTAACCTTAACTTATGTTAGCTTGTTAGCACTCACCGATGTTTGGATGATGAAGAATTTCTTGCCCTTCACTTCCTAAACGAGCATTATTGACCCAGCCACATCAAAAATACATAAAACTGTCTTTTCATCCTACAATGGTGAAGGAGAGGGATTACCCTCTAAATATAACATCTCTAAAGTGACGTTCTTCTCTCTGATAATCAATACTTCCTCTTACAACCGTAAAGTTCACAGGTCTAAATAACACATTTAACGTTCTCTACACCTTCAGACTGGATGATGTCTGGTCTCAACGACTTGCAGATTAACTGTAGAAACAAGTGAACATCTTCTACTCTTCCTTTAACTGTATATACAAATGGACAACATCCCTCAGGCTCCTTCTGTTGAACAAGATGAAGCCAAATATCCTCATGATGGGCGCTTACATATTGCATATTTGCA